AGCACACTCTTGCGTGCATCCTGTCAACATGTTCTTTTGGAAAGAGTTGGGGTGCAGAACTCTAAGTTGAAACACCCCTTTGAAAACAAAATTGATAATGCAAGTTTTTGCAAAACAAGCCTGCTGCACTGCTACAGAAGTCGCCCTGCGCAGAACCCTAAGGGTCTGTAGTCGGCATGCCTGACCCAAGCAGTAGAGCAACTTCCGTTTGCGATGCAAGCCTCCAACCTCAGCTTCTTGCCAAAGATGGAGGAAAGCACACTGCAAGTTCAAGTATAAATCCAACAGGTCAAATTTTAATAAGTATCGCATCAACTAATAGCACAATTTAAAATTATGAGCCAATGAATGAACCAAGCAGCTTTGTCACTGGTTTTTTTGGCTTTAATGGCAGAAATCATTTCCTGGAACACAGATCCGTGTGGCACACACTTGCCATCCACCAGGGCCACATCAGCATCAGCCTGTGCACCTGCATCAATCAGAAAAGCAAGAATAGACTAAGTGACCAAGAGCTTCAAGGAAATTCCCAGAGTGGGGTTCTACGTTGGCAGAAAGAAACCATTTGCAAAATCAAATGGCAAGGCACCATCTTTGGCTGTAGATGCCTCAGACATCTTAAGGTTTGGAAAGATATCAAAATTGAAACAGTTTCATAGATGAATACATTTTTTGTTTCGAAAGATGATTCGATGACAATGATATATGACGATACTGACACAGGAAAAGCAAACAATTTTTAAGCAAGCCACTGCAAGCCGGTGAGTTCTCGAGGCAGCATGCTGCTTCACATGTGAACGGAAAACCCATGAAGACCCTCTGCCACCTCAGCTTAGGATTTGGTGGTGATGGGCAAATAAGGCATTATACTGCGGGGAACATCAGTTTACCATGTGTTTAAAAGGGAAACATCCATAAGAGTTTGGTCCCATTAGCCAATTGAAAAATATTGCAGAAAATCAACAAAGATTAAACAATGACACCTTATTCAAAAGTAGCTAAGGGGCCTTCTCCCCTGGACCACGGGGTGTCCAAACTGGCACCCTGGCATATCTTGCAGCCCAAGCCATGCTCTCCAACTACCAACCATGGAAAGCTGCTTGTCCATTTCTCCCACTTTGAGGCGAGAGTACGGAGCTGCAGCTTTGTTTTTGACCGCATCCCCAACGCAAGGGGCCCTGGATAAGATCAGATCACTTTTGTCAGTGATGATTGGGATGACAAGATAGGATCGATTTTACTGTTGACTGCTTGATCCCTTTGAAGGTTCTGACAAATCTGAACTTCAATTCATTAAGATTGCAGGACGTGCTTTCCTCTCCCGCATGACCATGTTGTTTTGTCTTGAGCAAAAAATGGAAATAGAGATCAAGATCATTTGAGAATTGGTGGAACTGCAACCTGAACCATCTAGGCTGAAGATCTGACCACTTTTCCTGGGATGCCCAACGCTGCCAGAGGTCAGGATCAGCAGCTCCAAGCACCTGCAAAGCAAGGAGAGGCCAACGACCCATGGGAGATCATGGGAGACCTATCAGATTCATTTCAAAAAACATAATGGGTTTGTTGATTTTTTTCACAGAGTCATCCTGGGAATTCTGGGTCGGTGTTAAGTTCAGATGATTAGCGTGGTGCCCTGAGACATGCCATCCCTGAAATAAGCAGCCACACTTTTTTGACCAGTCATTTCTCAAAGCTTGCGGGAGATCCATGTGGTTTGCCAGGTTCCAGCCATCCAAGTGAGCACATCCTTTGAAGATCTTAGCTGTAGTCCACCTTAGTAAGGCTGAACCAGCAAAAAAATAAATTCAATGAACAGGATCCTGAAACACAAATCCAAAGTTTCAAATGACCCAAAGTTTTCATAGGCAACTGCTGGCAAATGACATATGGGTTGTATGGTGGATCCTCTGGGGGAGGGGGAGGCGGAGGAGGGATCGGGGGGGGTGGGGGGGGGGGGGGGGGCGGTTCACTTTCAGGGCCATCATTGCTGCGACATTCGCTTTCCTCTGATTCTTCACAGGTCGGTTCAATGTTTGCAAGCTCATCCTCATCATCATCACCAGGGCCATCCCTGGCCAGCATGGCCCCTTCCACGATGTCCTAAGGAAGATGCAAGTCCCATCCCAAAATTAACAGGTTCACTGACAAAATCAAATACCATGATTTCAGTGCCATATTTTTTTACAAAAATGTTTGATGTGTGCAAGCTTCTATGCACCTTGCAGCAGCCAGGCGGGTGGTTATGAGATCCCAGAGTTTTTGTAAGGTTTGCAAGCTGGTCCGTTTCGAATCCTTCTCCTCCAAGATTCTCTTCACCTACAAAAGTTGCGCAAGGAAAGTGATGTGTCACATTTGTCAACCATGGACCCCACAAGATTTACCAGAACATCGTTGGAACTTCCCGCCAAGGACAAAATGAAGGGTTCCTGGAAAGATCACCATGAAAACCCTATTCAATAAAATAATTGAACGCTGGACTATACAACATTTGGAAAGCCCGACGCCTCATTGAGGGCAAACACAGCAACAAGAGGAGCTTGGTCTTGTGGGGTATGAAATGTAGTTTGCAGCAGCTCATCCTGGTTGCTGGTGGTGATGTTTGATGGTGTTGATATTTTTCATGGTTTTTGTGGTGACTGGCCCTGATGTTAAAGGTAAAATCTTAGAAACAAAGTAGGCAAGGGACTTCCAGCACCCAGGGGGTGGGTGATTTCAGCTCTTGCTGGTCAGGAACCGAAGCCACCCCGTGCAGAACCCCTATGCCCTCCATGCATTGGCCTCAGAAGGATCATGTTTGGGTGACCATCAAGCTAAAAGGCCCAAAAAAATACCCCATGTTGAATTCAAATTCCTGTTGACCTCTAAGTTGTGTAAATAAATGGAACGAGACCAACATATCAACCCAAGGGCGTTGAAGTCTTGATGTTGGTGACCCTGGCTCACCCAAGTAGAACTCGACCATCTTTGGCCTTCTGCTGAGCCATGTTGTCCTTAGATGAGCCATTTGGTCAGTCTGTCTTACAAACCAGTCAGGGTCATGGAACTAAAGAGGAAACATATGGAAACATGAAATAAATCAAGCATGCCAAAGACAACCAGGATGCCGACTCACCACGACAAACTGCTCATCCACGTCCCGATCATGGAACTTCACCCTTGGTATCATTGAACCCAAAACTTTTGAGTGGAAGGGCCATGTTCATTTTTTTCCCAGGGGTTCTGACCAAAGCAAATCAAATTCAAACATATATAGTCTTCAAGCCCAAGCACTCATCAAGTCGCCGAACATGAACCTTGACAGAGGTGTCTGAAGATGAGGATGAAGATGAAATTTCAGGCGCGATAGATGGTTTGATTCGTGGCTTTGATGCCTTCCTCAGTTGATGTATGTATCAATAGGCCAAAATCCTGGTGACGGATGAGCATTGGTACATGAATGTTCTTCAATGTTCTTCCAAAACAAATTGTTTTGACACACCCCATGTGATAATGAATGAAATCATGACTTTCAAATAAAATCACAATGACTGAATCTAAAATCCAAGTAGCCCAGTTTCCTCTGAATCCTCACCACATCCTCTCTTCAACGATGTTGACATGGCTTTTGGTTTCACACCAATGCAGGGTGCTGCACAGTATTGCTGTCGTTGTGGGTGTTTCTGGTTTTTATGACTGATGGGCCATGAGAAAAAACTGGGTCCTAAGCTTTTCCAGCTTGGAATCATTCCATGCCAGGGTCTTCATTGGCCATTGTTTGAGCCAGTTGGTTGAGTTCAACACAACAACATCTCAGCAAAGTTGCCAAAGAAAGTCATGAGTTATTTTGACCATCCCTTCATCCCTTGGCACCTTGTCAGGCTGGAGGCATCGTGGTGCCACTGCAGCAGCAGAGTAGCAACAGCAGCAGCAGCAGCAGCCACTGACTGCTGTTTCCGGATGATGGTTCCGGGTGGGATTATATAAGGGTTAACAGACAATGATGTGTGACACAAGACTGGCTCAGATCTGTGTGCATATTTTTGCATTATCAACTTATCAACTTTGATAAATGCAACTAAGTATATATATATATATATTAGTTGTGATTATTAGTTGCAATATTAGAGCTGATATTAAATTATAGTTCCATATCATTTCTATATTATTTCATATTATTTCAATAGATTTCAATCTATTTACACATTAATTGATGTCTTCAAGCGACAAAACTTGAGGTTTGGGTCGCCAGCTGTCGGCGGAGTCGCCCGAGATGATCTTCCTGACCACCCCGCAGCTGAGCATTCGTTGCTGTGGATTTGATATGTATACTGTATATAATATATATATATATGTAATCTAGAAAATATATACATATATATATATAATTATATATATATATATTGTATTTACCTGTATTATACATATAGGCCATTTCGGCTCAAGCACCCAGCGCGTTGTTTGCACACCTGTCGTGTTCTCGCCAGACCGGTCGGTGCCATGCACTGAGGTAGGCGACATGCTGTCCTGATCCCAACGCGCAAGCCGTTGCCGCGCTCCGAAAGTGCTCCACTGTCAGAACTGCACCCACAGGAGATCGTCAAAACTGTTCCGCCGGGCCACAAGAGCCTTTTTATACATAAATTTACAGGAAAAATGCCGCGCCGCAAGACCGGGGACCACACTTTGTGCGAGCCTGCGCAGTTGAAATGCACGTCAACACGTCACAAGAGCCATTTTATACGGAAATTTAGAGGAAAAATGCCGCGGCCCAGCTGGAGCACCCTGATCAAGCACCGGCCTTTACACTTACCGTAGGAACCCTCAGTGTGGACACACTGTTTGGGGAAAAATAGCCATCATTCAATATTATAATTATCATAGTAAAAGTTATTCCATTTTATTTCTATACGCCCCGCAGGTTCGATGTAAAAGACCGGATCTCTATGTGATAGTGTGTGGAGATTGAATGTCACCAGGCGTTTGAGAGATGTTGTCACCTCAGTCGTCGCCAACTCCCCATGTCTTCGGGCGCCAAGGCATGGCTTGGAGCTCTCCGAGAGGTATATGTTTTATTTGAATCGCCGCTTGGCCACGCCTTTCTTGGTTCCTTGCAAGGTCATGCATCCATGGTAGCTCTGAACCCACCAAAAAAGCATGTATGAAACTTTCAGTGCAGTTTGAAATGTTTGACTTGAAGAGACTTTCAGGAAGTCCCGTTTCGACGTGTCACGAATCCCAGGAGAGAACAGCGGCGCCACACCCTTGGACGACATGCCCCACGCTGCGAAGGGCCGCAAGGTGGCTCGGATGTGCCCATTCCACTCTGGACTTAACTCGACATAGCCTTGGAACAGGTGATGAAACTATGTGAGGTTTCCTTGCTTCATGAAATCTGGCGAAATACAATGCATGTTGACTCATGTTGAATGATATTGAAACATTATAGTTGGGACATCAACCCGTTTTGGTTAGCCGCATGATCAAACATGTATTTTGAGCTGCATGATCAAACACGTATTTCCAGAGGCCATGTTTGCTTGTGTAGCTTATGAATTCAATCCCCAGCGCCTTCCCTGTAAGAACGCTGGCACCTGCGTTCAGGACCTTTACATGATGATTTCATAGATGTGAGTCGCAGCTGAACTTCAAGCCGCAAAGATTGGCCAACACCAATATATCCGTAATCGATTCCCAACCAAACAACCATGTCACGACTGCAATATGATACTTCGAACAGCACAGAAATATTTGCGTATCCTCGGGAACCCAACCAACATAGCTGGTGTATCCTGGTGTCATAGTAACAGAATGGTACCTGAAAGTTTGTTTCACCCTGGGAATTCGTTGAGGTGGCCTTAAACTTTACAACGCCCAGTGCAGTAGCCCGATCTTTGCTCCAGAGACTCAAGGCGCCATTTCGGGGAAGGCCATGGATTTGAAATGCATAGCAGATAGTACAGTATACCACAGTAAACCATAGTAAACTTGCAAAAAAGGGCGGGTAGCATTGTCATTCATAGCCATTCATAGCCATTCATAGCCATTCATAGCCATTCATAGCCTGTTGTTTGATCATTATCCTTCAGACCTTTTCAGACCTGATCAGATGTTGAAATTGGCCAGGCGAGGTCCTTGCCGGTTGAAGGCCTGGAGGGTTTCTCGGACTCTCAGCCACTGCCCATCAGCTGGGGTGAAATTCTCCCACTGACGTCGCTTGGAAGACAACTTGCCATAGACAGTGCCACTAACATCTTAGGAGTCTTCATTGAAATTCATGAGATCGCGCAATCTGCACAAGAGTCACTGATAAAGTTAAGCCTTTCTTGGGCCTTGGAGATCAAATGGCCCTGGTCAGAGCACGAGTTGAGAATGTCACAGTAGTACAGTATCATCATTATCATGTTGATCTTTGGGTGCTACAACAGTCTAAACGACAATGAGAATCCTGCTACCCTTTGCAACCTGCAGAGCCTACGCTCTGAGGTATTTGCGAAGCTATGGTAAGCTGCCGCCAGTGGTGCCGATGTCATTTCCTTTAAGGTGGGAGAAGCTACCCGGAAAATCCAATGAGCAGCAGAGTTGGAGGATGTTGGAGGTTCCAATGCAATTCCTTAGAAGATTAGGGATGTTTCTGGACCCTTTGGACCCTTCCTGCGTCCACAAGTCAGTTGAAATGAACTTGGTGATGTCGCCGAAGGAAATCATTCTCGAACAGATTGGAAATGGGATCGGACTTGCAGAGAGTGTAGGATTTAAAACATATACCCATGCCACACTGAGCAAGTATGGAGGGACCTGGTTGTTACAACTATAAGTATATAGTATTCACATGTATTTACTGTACATGTATTTACTGTACATGTATTTACAGTATATACATAAAATATACATACGTACAAATACGTACACATAATAATTATATCACATATGTACATATATATTTTTTCCTTTATATATTTGTATCTATTTGTATCTATTTGTATATATGTATATATGTATATATTTGTATTTTTGTTGTAAATATTTGTATATATGTGTATCTAATTGTATATGTTTGTATATATTTGTATCCATTTGTAATATATATATATATGTATATATTCATATATTTGTATATATTTGTATATATGTATATATTTGTATCTATTAGTATCTATTTGTATCTACTTGTATTTATTTGTATATATGTATATATTTGTATCTATTAGTATCTATTTGTATCTATTTGTATTTATTTGTATATATGTATATATGTGTATCTATTAGTATCTATTTGTATCTATTTGTATTTATTTGTATATATGTATATATTTGTATCTATTAGTATCTATTAGTATCTATTTGTATATATTTGTATATATATATGTATGTATTTGTATATATTTGTATATATTTGCATATATGTATATATGTGATTAATTGAAGAAGTTTATCTCCTTGAGCCATCCAGATAGCGCTCAGCTCAGCTGGTACAGTAGCTGTGGCTGTCCAGCTGATCCAGGCGGTTCAACCACTCTGCTGAGATGTTTGATGAGCTGCTTTTGTTGGGATCGGAGATTGGACAGTTCTTGGATCAGTTGCCACAGAGACACTCGGAATGCATTACATATACATATATGATATACATATGTATGCATCATATGTAGATGTGTATATATATATATATGTTTATTGTGCTAGGACTTGATGCATTGCCCGTGTGTGTGTGTGTGTGTGTGTGTGGTTGCTTGTTGTGGGTTTGGTCAGTGCACATGCAAGTCGCTTTGGGGATCCCTTGTTGTTAATTCAAGGCTCATGGTTTGCAGACAGTGATAGGTGGAAACATGTCTCCAGCAGACGAGAGACAGGGGGTAAAGTGGATGGTGATCGTCCGTCGCCATGGCCAACATCATCATCATCATCAGCATCATCATCATCATCATCATCATCATCAAACAGAACATAACATAACGTTATAAATTATTATTGTTACTACTAGCGCTAGCGTTAAGTCGTATCAGCTTGTAAAAGTCGTATCGGGAGGCTGTGCGCCTGGAAAAGTTCAAGTTTGGCATCGCCACAACTTTTAGTAATTGAACAAATTCATTGTTTTGGGGCCGTGCGGCTGGAAAAAGTTCAATTTTTTTTTATTGCATTGATTAAAAAAAATATTTGATCATTCTTTCAAGGGGGCAAACGCTGGTTGCTGCTTGCCTGCTGCTTGCCTGCTGCTTGCCTGCTGCTTGCCTGCTGCTTGCCTGCTGCTTCCCTGCTGCTTGCCTGCTACTTGCTGCTGCTTGCTGCTGCTTACCTGTTGCTGCTCACCTGCAGCTTGCCTGCAGCTTGCTGCTCCATGCTGCTGCTTGCTGCTTTTTGTTGCTGCTTTTTGTTGCTGCTTTTTTGTTGCTGCTTTTTGTTGCTGCTTTTTGTTGCTGCTTACCTGCTGCTTGCCTGCTGCTTGCCTGCTGCTGCTCACCTGCTGCTCACCTACTGCTCACCTACTGCTCACCTACTGCTTGCCTGTTGTTGCTGCTCCTTGCTGCTCCTTGCTGCTGCTTGCTGCTTGCTGTTGCTTGCTGCTGCTTGCTGCTGCTTGCTGCTGCTTGCTGCTGCTTGCTGCTGCTTGCTGCTGCTTGCTGCTGCTTGCTGCTGCTTGCTGCTGCTTGCTGCTGCTTGCTGCTGCTTGCTGCTGCTGCTGCTGCTTGCTTGCTGCTGCTGCTGCTGCTTGCTGCTTGCTTGCTGCTGCTGCTGCTGCTGCTTGCTGCTGCTGCTGCTGCTGCTTGCTGCTGCTTGCTTGCTGCTGCTGCTGCTTGCTGCTGCTTGCTGCTGCTGCTGCTGCTGCTTGCTGCTGCTGCTGCTGCTTGCTGCTGCTGCTTGCCTGCTTGCTGCTTGCTGCTTGCTGCTTGCCTGCTTGCTGCTTGCTGCTTGCTGCTTGCTGCTTGCTGCTTGCTGCTTGCTGCTTGCTGCTTGCTGCTCTTGCTTGCTTGCTTGCCTGCCTGCCTGCCTGCGTGCCTGCGTGCGTGCGTGCGCGCTTGCGCGCTTGCGTGCTTGCGTGCTTGATTGCTTGCTTGCTTGCTTGCTGCTTGCTGCTTGCTGCTTGCTGCTTGCTGCTTGCTGCTTGCTGCTTGCTGCTTGCTGCTTGCTGCTTGCTGCTTGCTGCTTGCTGCTTGCTGCTCTTGCTTGCTTGCTTGCTTGCTTGCCTGCCTGCCTGCCTGCGTGCCTGCGTGCCTGCGTGCCTGCGTGCGTGCGTGCGTGCTTGCGTGCTTGCGCGCTTGCGTGCTTGCGTGCTTGATTGCTTGCTTGCTTGCTTGCTGCTTGCCCGCTGCTTGCTTGCTGCTTGCTTGCTTGCTGCTTGCTTGCTTGCTGCTTGCTTGCTGCTTGCTTGCTGCTTGCTTGCTGCTTGCTTGCTGCTGCTTCTTGCCTGCTGCTTTCTTGCTTGCTTGCCCACTGCTTGCCTGCTTGCTTGCCTGCTTGCTTGCCTGCTTGCTTGCCTGCTTGCTTGCCTGCTTGCTTGCCTGCTGCTTGCCTGCTGCTGCTGCAGCTGCATGCTGCTGCATGCTGCTTGCTGCTGCATGCTGCTGCTGCTGCTTGCCTGCTGCTGCTTGCCTGCTGCTGGTTGCCTGCTGCTTCCGCCTGCTGCTGCTGCTGCTTCCTCCTCCTGCTGCTGCTGCTTCCTGCTGCTGCTGCTGCCTCCTGCTGCTGTTGCTTCCTCCTGCTGCTGCTGCTGCTTCCTGCTGCTGCTGTTGCTTCCTCCTGCTGCTGCTGCCGCTCGTGCAAACATTATGCCGAAACAGAAAATAACAGTCTCGGTCGCCTTGTTTGGCGCTGACGGGAGGTACGGGCGGGAGACACCAGCAGAGAGAGGGAATGTTTCTGGCTGGTTGGAATGAAACATTGCGGTCGCATAGCGCGGTTGTGCCGCTGTGCTCACCATCTGCGCCATCTCGCACCATCTCGCAAGACGGCGCAGACGGCAAGACGGCGCAAGACGGAACAGACACAACAGACGGCGCAGACGGAGCACCGACAATTCCGCCCGCAATGGAATGAAGGTTTTTTTCCAATTCGTAATTCCTGGGTGGATAGGACAACAAACTTCTTGAGAGCTGTCCACGACATTGATGCACATCGCGCCAGCCATAGCCCTGCCAATAGGATTTGCTACAGCTAACCCACTTGCATTGCAAGAAATTTGAGGCTGTACCAATAGGGGTTTGATTTGGTCACGCGACGCAGGACATCAATATAATATATTCAAATCCAATAGGATTAGCTGCCGAGAATTTGTTTGTATTAACTTGTGCCCTTCAAAATCATCGCTGTGCGCAATGCTTCGGCTATTTTTAACTACATCTCCAAGTATGGATGAAACAGGCTGTGCCATGGTGATTCTTCTTCCCTGATGTGACTTTCCACTACCTGATGTGACTTCTCCGTATCGCCGCCGTGCCATGGGGATGATGTGACTTTTCCCGCCTGATGTGACTTAAGTACGGTGCTTGTATCATTATTGTATTATTATCAAAAGTCCTGGCACCATCACCTCTTTGATTCCCAGGAGTTCTATGGTTGGTCTCTGCTGATTTGGCGCACACTCACTTGAAGACTGGCCACTTGACAGAGACAACGGCCGTTGTGGATGTCAAATTCCAAATCGATTCCAAATGGACTGACTGGCTGACTCACTCTCAAGACACAGTTTCAATTTTGGAAAGTTCTTTCCGAAAGGAAACTCTTGCCAATTTGAAATGGCAACGCCAAGGCTTTCGGACTTTTCTCTTAGAGACTACAGTATCTTGAAAGAATGGGTGCTCTCTACAAATAAGGAAGTTTGTGTTGGGTGCACATGGATCAAAATTTCATACATCCAAAATTGAATATGCTGTTTTGTTTGGTTTCTGGAAATGAACACAAAATGTCCACCGAATCTTAAACCTTCATTGATACCCAGAATGTCATGAAACTCGGAGGTCCATATGGCTATTGCCCTTGTGCCCAGCCATACGATGATGCTTGCAGCAAGTGGGCTGCTGCTGGTGGCTCCCTAGAAGCCCTGCAAGATGCCAAAGAGTATCAGAGACACTCAGCTGGAAAGCTTGGAACGGGGCCGATTACGGATTGCTGGCAGGCAGTATGGATTTTTGGATGATGGATGATATATATATATATATATACATACATTTAATTATATATACGTATATATTATATATTGTAATGTATATATACTGTATTATATATATATAATTTTATAATTATTAATTATTGTACCTATCATTTGATTTTGCAATTTTGTAGGATTTTTTGCCAAGGACTGAACTGAGGGTTTAGAACCGCAGTGTTGAGAACAGTTGGCATCCCATGTTTTCAACTCGTACCGGGTCCTAGCTGTCAAGGATCAGATATTGGGCCTATCGGTGAAGGTGTGTTGAACATTGAACCTTGAAAGGCAACCACCCAGCAAGACAATGAATGAGCTTCCGGATTCAAGATGCAAGAGGATTGCACTCACTCAGATGGGGATGGGATCCTTTTGTTTGGCTAAAAAACAAGAAGAACTTGAATAGATGATCATAAAGGGATAGTTCAAGATATTCAAGACAAACATGACAAAGTTTGTGGCTCCATACCCCAGTACCTTGACGATCCCCATATCCGTTGAAGCGTCAGGAAAAGGTGCCATGTCCTGCGGATTCACAGGGCTGGTGGCCCTGCAGGGTTTCTTGAAGGCCGCAGGATGGAAAGGAACCGTCTTGGCCAATGAGCACCCGACCTATTATGGGATGAAACTTAGATGCAAAAAATGATAAAAAATGCAAAAAGTTGAGACATGAAACGAACATGTCCCGTTTGATGATCTACCTGATCTACCTATTAAATATGGCTATTGATGCCATGGCAACTGGTTGAGCCAAACGGTAAATCTGGTGATGCTTACAGTTCTTCCAGCGATTGGAGCTCGACCCACGTTTTTTTATGTGCGACAACTGGTACATCTCCAGCTGGATGGGTCCTACACTTTGAACCATCCAATGGTGGCACTTGTGCTTTTTGCTAAGGATGGTGGCCAAGTTCTCCCCAGTGGCATTCGTGGTGTGAACAGATTGCGGTCGCATCGCGTAAAAACGATGTCTGTCGCATTGGCAGCGAAGATGGGGTTGAATCACTCAAGTTAGGCAACCCAGACTTTGGGAATATATCACTTGCTCCACTTCAATTGGTTATAGAACTGTTATAATTAGACAATTTGATTATCCGAGCATATATTATACAAGTACAGTATGTCTACATACTAAAACCAACAGAAATTTTTAGTAAGTGACCAGTCAATCCATGGCAGGCCTGGCAGATTTCTTCGATGGCAAGACTTTGAGTCACAGCGTCAGTGGTTTTTGGAACCAAATTGGTGGAGGTGCCTGGACGATGGAAAAACTTCAGGCTTTCTCCATGGAAATTCATTGGGAATTCATCAATCGACCTAGAAAAAACCAATCCCTATGGCCCTATAGTATTATTATACATAATCAAGGGCGAAGTTGGTTCAATGCAGTTTCTGAACAGTTATATTATGCTTTCCACTTCAATACATGGCCCAGATTCCACTGGCGCAGCCTCTCACCGCGCTTTTAAGCGCGAAATTAAGCGCCAGGTGATTGCACCGCATCAAACTTCAATCCAAGGTGCCCTCAGAATGCGCCAAGGGTCTGGTAACTCTGGTATGTTGATGTGAAATTGTCATGCTGATCTAATGGTCCGAGAGGGCAAGAAAATTATCATGTCATATCATATCATGGACATTCTCGGACCTTCGAGATCCTTTGTCATCGATTCAGGGAAAGCAACAGCAGCTCAGCAATTCGCCCAAGGTGCTCGCACGAAGCCACGCCAGATGATACCGTGGAACCCATCAGGTCAGCTGAACCATCAGTTCGTCTTACTGCTTGTGGAAGATCTTTTGAACATGTTGCCCATGTTTTCCATGAGGGATAGATAGGGATAGTGTGGACAACGTATTCAATATCTATTCATATCTATTCAAGGTATCTGAATCCAGCACATGGCAATGAGATTTCTATGGGACATCATTTATCCACGAGCTTGCGCCAGTTAGGAACCTCCCAAATTCCTTATAGTGACCAAACTGATTTGGCCATTAAGTTTTCTGCGGAAGTTACACGTCCTTGACGAGAAGTCTGGGCCCGTTATTCAATGTGAAGGGCCAGCTGCTCGCAATAGATCATCCATTCTTCCCAAAAATTCTAATAGCGTCCAAGTATGTGAACATAAAAAAAGGCTTAAGGGAACGGAAAAAATCCGAACAATATGTCCCATATTTCCAGATGTCTCGTCGTCCCACTTCGTCCAGCACGTTGGATTTCACAGGCGAAACGATGACTGGGATGCTTCACGAGGTGCGAAGCCAGATCCCATTCCCCGTTCTTCAACAGACCGTCCCGAGATGTCCCAAGATATGTGCAAAATGCCCAACAAAAAACCATGGTTTCTGGGGGGTAGTATAAACAGGGGATGGGATAATATCAGTGTTTTTTTTGCTTCATGTTTATGCTAGATGAACAGCAAAATTGATGAGGATATTCTGATCATGGCACTGGTCGTCTCCGGGTTGTTGCATTCTGCTGGTTGGTTTTCTCTTCAAAGACTTCGAGGTTTTGGTGGGTCTCCAATTTTTGGGATATGAACGGATATGATCACGACCCATGTAACTCCCAGGTCCTTCTATATCGTTCCAATGGATGGCCTTCATCTGATGCTGTCGCTATCACCATGGATGACTTGAGTCCGCACTGAAGAATCTAAGTCATCCCAAGTTATCCTAAGTTGTATCGGAAGCAAAGAATTGATGAGGCTTCATATTTATCAGGTACTGTACAACTATATATATATTATATATATATTATATATTATATATATATTATTATGTATATACATATATTGATACTATACCTGAATTTTTGTTGTAGATATGTACAAGTATTTGATCAGGTATAACTGATAATATCACGGATCTTGATCCAGAATTATCATTGAATTCCTAGCGGCATCCTCATAGAACCTGATCCAGTCTGTTTTCTTGTTCAACAAGCTGGCAGAGTTTTGCTCCAACAGTATCGATCTACCGCAGGATGAATCCAATCAAGGTGTCACCGACGGGTGGAGATCCATACACACATCTTTCAATTGGGGACTGCTTTCGTGAGTCAATGATCGAAAATTATTGAAGCAAAACATCTGAATCACATGTCTCTTTCTTGACAGGTTGTAAAGTGCTGGGGCCATTGTTCCCACATTCCATACAGCCTGCTGCTTGGCTTTGAGCGATCCGCTTCGCGATGGAGGTGTGCTTCCTCGCTTCAGGTGCAGAGCTGACAGTCCTTGCCCCTGATGAATTTGAAGGAAAAACTGCAAAGGCTGTGAAGCAAGTCTTGGCCAGTAAGATTCCTGGATTTGCTGATGACTTTTTATGTTCCCAATGGAAAATCACGAATCTTGGGGAAACGGATGAAGGGAATAATTGTGTTTTTTATTTATTTGAGGTTCCTCAAGCAAATCCAAGGATTGATGTCAGCATTTTCAGACAAAGATTATTTTCAGAAGATGGTGCCGAGATCCCGGATGATGAGATGTTTGCTTCGTCTCCAGTGAAGCTTATGCTTGTGATCTTGGAGTTTTTCCAAACGGATGCTGAGCAAACCGAACGCATGATCTCTGCATCCACCAACAATGAATTGATTGAACTTGAGAGTTTGCTGAAAAAACCTTTGAACCCAAATGTGAGAGACGAACATGGCACAACACCGTTGCACTGTGCCGCAGAAAGAGGACATGTTGAAAGCCTGCAGTTGTTGATTGAAGCAGGTGCTGACAAAAATCAAGCCACGGACAGGGGCGCAACGCCATTGTTCATGGCGGCACTGACAGGTCATCTTGATGTCGTCCAACATTTGACGGAAGTTGGTGCCCGCAAAGATCAAGCCACGAACCATGGCGCAACGCCATTGTTCATCGCAGCACAGGAAGGCCATCTTGATGTCGTCAAACATTTGACGGAAGTTGGCGCCCACAAAGATCAAGCCACGAACAATGGCGCAACGCCATTGTTCATCGCAGCACAGGAAGGCCATCTTGATGTTGTCAAACATTTGACGGAAGTTGGTGCCCACAAAGATCAAGCAGCGAACAATGGTGAAACACCACTGTGGATCGCAGCATATAAAGGTCATCTTGATGTCGTCCAACATTTGACGGAAGTTGGTGCCCGCAAAGATCAAGCCACTGACGATGGTGACACACCATTGTTCATCGCAGCACAGGAAGGCCATCTTGATGTCCTCCAACATTTGACGGAGGTTGGTGCCCACAAAGATCAAGCCACGAACGATGGCGCAACGCCATTGTTCAGCGCAGCAGGGGAAGGCCATCTTGATGTCGTCAAACATTTGACGGAAGTTGGTGCCCACAAAGATCAAGCCACGAACGCTGGCGCAACGCCATTGTTCAGCGCAGCACAGGAAGGCCATCTTGATGTCGTCAAACATTTGACGGAAGTTGGCGCCCACAAAGATCAAGCCACGAACAATGGCGCAACGCCATTGTGCATCGCAGCACACGAAGGCCATATTGATGTGGTTCGGCATTTGGTTGATAGTGGCGCTCGCAAAAATAAGGCAACTAGGGATACTGGGGAAACAGCCTTACATGCTGCGGCAGATATGGGCCATGTTGAAATTGTTCGCTTTCTGATTGAAAGAGGCGCAGATAGTCATGCAACTACACGCAGTGGAAGAAGTGCTCTGGATCTGGCATCTCAAAAAGGCCATTCTGAGGTGGTCCGGGTCCTGGCAAAGATGCGGAATGAATCGCCCCCAAGCAAAATTCCAAGGCTTGGTTGAGAGACATCATGTGAGATCAAAAAACGTTCCAGCAGCCGGCTCACCTTGGTGGCTTTTAAAGAAATACTTTTCAGACTTGTCAAAAAGAAATTCCAAAAGATCACCCTTTCCTCAAATGTCTGTGGAGATGGTTTCTGTAATGCTCAACTATCATAGGCTTCTTACAAGTCGTTTACCCCAAAAATAGCAAGAAATTGTAGGTCAATATTCCAGCACCATGGAGCATATGGGATAGTTTTCTCCCCACAAGCCAGAAGGTATAGTATACCCACATTGCTATGTACTACTATTGATACATAATGGTTGGTCAAATCTCATGAAAGTAAATCTCATTAAAGTACCGTTAAACCCGATGAAATTGCTATTGAATTCACAGAATTCTCCCTGGGTTTCTGGGAGTTATCCTATATAAGTTACTTGTACCATCTTGTACCACTCGTGTTCCATTGTTGATTTGTTTCCTGGGACAGCCCCAATTCTAGTGCCACTCCTGTGACAGGAACAGCTGGAACTGCAGTCGATCCCGCCATGGCAACGCGCAGGGTGGGGCTGCCAATTCCCAGTGGCTGAAATTCTGGGGTACCATGGGTACCATCATTAAGAATCAGTAATATTCGGATATATGACTCCCACTTTAGGATTCCCATTATGGGATGGATGAAAGTCATTGTGGGTCACTTTGAATGTGAATCCCATTTTTTGGGATGTCTTCAATGTTGAAAGATCGACCAGGATAGCTCCAAATCATATATTACACCAGAAAATGGTGGGTGAATATCATGATGTTCACACTGAAAACGACCGAAACGACCAATCTTTGCCCCAGAGAGCCTGGCTGTGGGTTCTTTTGAGGAAGCTCCCTTGTTGCGGCAAAGCAGCGTTGGAAGCCTAGGGGAGTCCATCAGAGGATCAATTCCTTAGATGTGCCTGAAAAATATGTGCCAAAAGAATCGAAGATTATGTGTCATCATTATTTGATTAATATTATTAACTCATATATCTTTATACCTGCATATCCATAAACCCACTTTTTTGTGGCCAAACATTGTGTGTCATATATGACAAACCATTTATCTGTCATATATGACAAAACATGAGTATGTAATATGAAAAATGATGTGAAAGAGAGAGATATATATATATATATAGGCGGTTGTGTGTGCTTGCTGGAACCACAGGGAATCAACT